AAAGAAAGAAAGAAAGAGGAAGGAAGAAAAAGAAAGGAAGAATGGAAGGAAGGAAGGAAGGAAGGAAGGAAAGAGGGAAGGAAAGAAGGAAGGAGAAAACAGGATAGTTTATTTGATCTCCATTGGACCATTTCTGAGAAGCCATCATGAACTCAGAATTGCATATACAAAATTCACCTTTATCTGGATCTCTTCTTCTTTTTCATCATCATCATTCTAGCCAATGTCCATCTACTGCAGGATGAAGTACGTCTTCTGCATGTTTCCAACCTAGACAGTCCTGATGTTGGTGGGTTGGTTTCTGCCACCATATTTGCTGATCCATCGTGTTTTGGGTCTCTTTCATAGACGCTTTCGATCAAGTGGGATCCATTCTACGGCTGCCTTGGTCCACCTGCCACCCGTCCTTCTTGCTGTGTGGCCGACCCAGTTCCATTTCAATTCTTTTGATGGCATTGTATACTCTCCTTCACTCTCTAATCCATAGGCAGGTCTTTCGATCTCGTCTTGTGTTGCCAAGTGTGGATTCCGTGCCTCTTTGTGCCCCTTGTAGCTTTTGCAATCGATTGTGAGGTTAGGCTTCACATTTCACCGTCATATGTTAGAGCAGGTAGCACACACTCATCAAAAACTTGTCTGTTCAGGCACAGGGGGAGGTTGTTCTTGAAAATTACACTGCTCTTGGTGCATCAAACTTCAAAGGGACTTCAATTTCCATGAAACTAACACATCTACTCCATAAGTTGAGTGCCCTGTTTGCATCCAGATACATTGGATTTTCACCAAGAGGGGAAACAACTAGTCCTATTGCTGTTTTATTTCCCTTGCCATGGCACCACAAAGGCGTTCAGTGATTATTAAGCTCATTTCACAGAGGTGGAAACTGAGGCTTGGTTCTCTGAGAGGTGAATCTGATATTGCAAGTCAGAAACAAATATAATAAAATATTTGGACTCTGGCTGTTTTGGCAATGGTGCTTCTGCCCTCCGCACATGTCCTTAGGTTTTGATGATTGATTTTAATATTTTCATTCTATGTATAGACACACTTTTATGACTCCAAGGCCGCCCAGGGTTACCCTACGGTAAGACGGGCAGCCGATAAATTTTATAAGTAAATAAATAAAATTATTTTTCACTGGAATGGCAGGATGGAAGAAGGTCTTTTTTAAGGTTGGTTGGGTTGCTGAAAACCAGTGCAAGAATTCTGTTAAATCAAGAAACAGAAATGTAGAATCTGACCAGGAAGGACAAATTAGGGCTCTACAAAAGCTGACAGAAAATTTTTCACCTTTGTGTAAAATGGCCAGGATACTAACCTGTTTTCAAGACAGAAGCCTGCTTTTTATGTTTTTATTCCATTTAGTGGAATTGTGTATCACACATCTTTAAATATCACAACCTACATGGCATCTAAAAGAGAATCGGGGTTAGTTCTCTCCGAGAAGTTTCTTATTTGGCGGCTATGGATGTTTTGTGCGTGAATTATACGGCAAAATGAAAGGGATGTTGTATGCCATAAGTGAGATGAGAGGTGTGGAAGGATGAGGAATAAAATTTTAAAAAAATGAAACGAAATAACACAATTAAAATAAATTATAAAATGAAATGAAATAAAAGCAGGCGAAGCTACACCTGGTTTTACACCTTGCACCCAGAAAGACAGAGTAAACAGGCAACTGCGTTAAGAGTCTTGAAAGGCCTTCAACTAACTGTAAAGTAGAATTATCCACATTGCAATCTAATAATAAAATTACCAATAAAGGAGAATATTTGTAGCTCAGGGTTGAATTTTGAGGTCCTTGGTGCTCTCTGAGCTTGGTGGTTTTCTTGCAGATGTTTCGTGACCCAACTAGGTAGCATCATCAGTGCTCATCATCAGAGCATGGATGATGTTACCTAGTTGGGTTATGAGACGTCTGCAAAAAAACCCACCGACCTCAGAGAGCACCAAGGACCCCCCCTCACTAAGAGAATTCCTCTGCCTGTTTCCACCCCTCCCGCCTTTTTTGGGGGGGGGGGGGAAATGCGTCTGACCAACTTAGGCAGGATTTATCCTCCAAATTAGGCGCTCACCATTTCAACCAACTCCTTACATTTGTTTCGATTCTGGCTAAATAGGATTTGCTGGATTAATCTGCAAAAGGCTATTTCTTTTTCCCTGTTCCGACGTTCTTGCCAGACGTCCAAAGAAGACGAAGGAAGAAACGGAGCTAAATACGAAATACTAAAGACACTGAACTTCATCCGGGGTGCCTGTTCGGTGCCTGTTCTGGATAATTGACAGCATCTTTGCAAAGGCCGGTTCGGATCTGTTGACTGTTCTCCCGGATTCCCACCCTCTGAATCCCACTGCCCCCCCCAAGTTTTTTTTGGCCAAAGTCTGTGGAGATTCTCAACCATCCATCAAGTCCTGGTTGTCCCAAAGGTACTTTCTTTTTCAAGAGACAACTGGGATTTTTCTGGTTTTTTTCTTTGAAGACCTTTCGCTCCTCATCCAAGAAGCTTCTTCAGCTTCTTCAGAAAGTCCAGCTGCCTCTTGAAAAAGCACCTTTGAGTCTCCTCTCCTCCTCCCAAAGATTTCTCTCCGCTCAACCCGCCTCCCCCCCTCCGAAACCCGTGATTCCCAGAGTGTGTCCGGCGCTGGACAGCGGAGCCCTCCGAGTCAGGAAACCCCAAGGAGCTAAGCCCCTTAAGGCCAAGCTGGCTCTTCGGCAGGGGACCTTCCTCCCCCAGGCCGCTGGGAAGGGGGCAGGCTCCCCAAAGGGCCCCTAGGCAAGACCCCAGCCCTCCCCTAGACCTCCCCGTCTCTTGGGCCGTTTTCCTTTCCCCCCCGGGACGCGCCAGGACGCGCGTTCCGACGCGCTCACCTTCCCGCAGCGCGCCTCCTCCTCCTCCTCCTCCTTCGCTGCCACTGCTACCCCCGGAGGGGTCGAAAGCCCCCTTGCCGCCTTCCCGAGCCTCGGAGCCGGCGTCCTGGGGCGTCCCGTTCATGCCGACGGCCGCTTCCTCCAGATCCAAGAGGTGACTCACGCTGAAATTCTTGCGCGCCTGAGGGTTGTCTGCAGGCTCCAAGATCCGGACCGGGTTGGGGGCGAATTGCTTGTCCATGCTGTAGGCGGACACCGCTTCCATCGCGGCCTGATCCAGCTGGGGGGGCGGGGGGGGGGAGAGCAGAAAAAAAGACACCCCCCGGCCAGCCAGGAGCTGCGATCTGGCGAGCCTCCCTTGGCTCCCCCCAAACCGACTTAACGTCCCCAACAAAACTTTTCCTTCTGCTTTGATTTCCTCTCTCTCTCTCTTTCTCTTTCTCTCTCTCTCTCTCTCTTTCTCTCTATCCCTCCTCCTCCACCTACGTTTTCCTGATGTGGGGTGTGTGTGTGTGTGTGTGTGTGTGTGTGTGTGTGTGTGTGTGTTTCTAAGGGTGTGTGTGAGGCTTTATTATATTCACTGTATCTCGGTCTCTTTCTTTCTTTCTTTTTCTTCCTTCCTTCCTTCCTCTCTCTCTCCCTTTCTTCCTCTCTTCTTTCACTCTTTCTTTCTCGGCCTCTTCTCTTCCTCTCTTCCCCCCCCTCTCTTCTTTCTTTTTATTCTCCCCCTGTGTCCTTCTCTCCCTCTTTCACTATTTCTGCCTTGCTCTCTTCCCCCCCCCCCCGTCTCTCTTGTCTTTCTCTCTCTATTTCTCTCTCACACACACTCCTCTTTCTCTCTGTGTAGCTTGTGAACTCGAGAGAGAAAGAACTTCTCCAAACTTTTTACTCGGGGGGGGGGGGTCTATCCGTCACCGGGCCGCCCCCCCCATCCTCCCCAGCGCACCGTCACCGCCGCTCCGGAAAATTTCCCTTCGGTCAAAAGTTTTTCCCCTCCATCCAGATTGAAATTGACCCGTCCCCGGCCGCTGTTTTCTCCTCAAACCGACTGATGGAGCCTTCTTGAAGCCCGTAAACGTGACAAGTCCCCCCCCTTCCTCAACTGCCCTTCTCCCCCCCCACCCCGCCTTTCGCACTCCCTCAATCTGCCCTCCTCCCCATTTCATCTCCCCCCCCCCTCCCAAGTGGGAAAGAGGAAGAGTTAAATTAGAGGAAAGCCAACCCGACTTATTGAGTTTGAAATATAATTTGGGGAGGGGCGGCGAGAAGAGAGAAATTCCTTTTTCGCATCCTTTCCCCCCACCACGCTGGCCGCCCCCCCCTTCATCAAACTGGGCTGCCTTGCAAAGCCTTGTCAAGTCAAATCGTGGGACATTTGAAACCTGCAAATTTCCCAGAAGGAGAACAAAACTAAACGGGGAAAAATATAATAATAATAATAATAATAATAATAATAATAATAATAATAATAGTAATAATAATAGTAATAATAATAGTAATAATAATAGTAATAATAATAGTAATGATAATGATAACTAAGAAAAAAATGAGGGGCTTATAGCAAATTGTCGCCCACTCCCACAGGGGTGCTAAAATAAGTTTGTTTCTTTAAATGTGTCACTTTTCAAGGGCGGAGTTATGCAGATGAAGGGGGCAGGCTTATTCAATTAGGACCCGCTGTCTTTCAGTGCAACTTTTAAAAACTTTTGTGCTATATAAAAAATTCCCTTTGATATATTTTTTTTTTTTTAAAATTAAAGGCCTCTTTGTTTCCTGCTGTTTTTAGGAAAAAGGTGTGGCTCTGGTTTCTTGGATTCCTTCTGGATTTATTTTTTATTTTTTAAATTTTCCAGTCAACTCGACAGCTCTAAGATCTCCTGGTGGTCTCCTATCCATAAAGGAGGAAAGCAAACGGTTAGATAAGAATGTCAACAAATTCTTTCTCCATCTGGTTCTCAAAAATGCCCATGAAATCCACTTAAGAACAGAAGCATTCATCGTTTTCCCTATTTTCTTTCCATTTCTGAAAGATAAATAATCAGAAATCAAACCTTTTGGGGGGAAACTTACTGTAGTCCTCAACTTACAACTATTTGCATAGTGATTATTGGAAGTTACAACAGAACTGAAAAAAAGTGACTTACGGCCATTTTGAATGGTCACTAAACATAATGGTTGTACATCAAGGACTACCTAGAGTAGGAAATTCAGGGAAACTTCCAGAGAAAAAGTGGCTAAACTTTCTTGTCTTAGCTTTTGGTTTTTTTTGGTCTACAAGAAAAAGCTGGAAGAATTTCATGGGGAGGTAAACTTCAAAGGTTCCAAAGCCATTGCTTTAAAAAGTGCCTTCCCATCAGCCTAATAATGAGAGAAAATCTCAATAGATAATAGTAAAGTCTAGGAAAGCTTGTAAACGGTCGTTCAAATAACCTAACAGCTGAAAACAAACAAACAAAGATGGAAAGTAGGACCAAGAAACTAAGTTTCTTCTAGCTTTTTAGCTCAATCTGTTACCCTCGAGGTGTGTTTGATCTTACGGGCCACCCTGGAAAAGGGAGCATCTGGCTCTTGAAGACCATCAATGCGAAGGTCCCAAGAGACACCATGGATTGGTCCCAAAGGACAGCGCTGAGGAAAGGTGGAAGTTCTCCAGATCTATGGTCCAGAAGGTCAGGGGCCAGGCAGACATAAAACATGCAGAGAGACCAGAGGTCTGTCCCCTGAGGCCTAGCTCGGGATCTGCCCATACGTGACCTCTGACACCCGAGTTAAAATTCAGCGGTGTGGGCTTGACCAGCCGTAGCACCAGAAAGCATCAGGAGGCTTGAGTTGAGCAACTGGAGTTGAGAAGTTCTTGTTACACGTCAAATCTCTTGATAGGACTGAGAGAGAGAGAGAGAGAGAGATGGTGGATCTAAAGTTGACCTCAGAAGAGGGAAATCGCCAAAGACTTTGGTTCTGATGTTAAAAGGTAGAAGAGTCAACTCAACTTTATTATATGTGTTGAAGGTCTCCTCCTCCTCCTCCTCCTCCTCCTCCTCCTCCTCCTCTCTTCTCCTGGCCTTCTTCTTCCTCACCTCATCTAGCACAGCAAGTAAACAGTGGCAACTGTTCTTTCTTCAGCAAGCCATGGATTAAACCAATGAACACCCGCTGACTGTGCTGGTGGTGAATTATGGAAGTTGTAGTCCATGTTGCCCTTTCTAGATGTTGGGTTTGTTCTGTGTTGGCAGATCATGATTCCAGAAAGAAAGCAACCAGAGTCAAGAGGTTTGTTCCCTTCCAGGATTCTGGCTAAGATTCTTTGAAACTGCTGACAGTCAGCTTACTGGCTCAGACATATTTTGTTTTTATTGGATGACTTGAAAACACATGACTCTATTAGTTTTTTTAAAAGGAAAGTTTTCCGGCAGAGAAGATGGCCAACTTGGCGGATAATAATACCAACGTCCAACTTTGTTACAGTACTATATTTTAAAAACCTAACACTCTTGTGGCTTTGATATTTTCCTCCTCCTCCTCCTCCTCCTCCTCCTCCTCCTCCTCCTCCTCTTCTTCCTCCACCTCTCCTCCTCCTCCTCTTCTCCTCCACCTCTTTTCTCTTTCTCTTGATAATTGGCCCAAAGTCACCCAGCCAGCTTTCATCCCAAAAGCAGAACTAGAATTCACCATCTCCTGGGGTTTGGTCCAAAACATCCCAGCTGCCTTTCATGCCTAAGGACGAACCAGAACTCATTTTCTCCTGGTGATGGGCCCATAGTCACCCAGCCGGTCTTCATGCCCAAGGCCAGACTAGAATTCCCATTCTCCTAGTTTCTAGCTGTCTTAGCCGCTAGCTACTCCTTTAATTTAACTCCTCTCTTCTTTCCGTTCCTCTGCCAGAAGAAGGCAGTCCAGGATGGGAGGCCAGCCAAGGTTGTGGGGGGGAGAGAGAGAGACCCCCAAAGGCATCTGAGTAGCTGCTCAGGGCGTTAAATAATGATGTGGGGAGCATAATCAAGTCTTGAGTCTCCCTGTGGATCCTCCAGTCCGATGATTGCTGGTATTTGAAAAGTGAAATACGAGCGTTTCATTTTTTTATGATCAAAGGAGAACCCGAGTTCTAAAGCAAAAAGGATTTGCCTGGAGGGGGAGAGGATTGAGAGAGAGAGAGAAAAAGAGAGAAAGAGAGAGAGAATTAGGGGTTGCTGATTCAGGAGGGGGAGGCCGAAAGTTTTCTTGGCAGGCAGCTAAAGTTTCTTTAGACACGCCAAGACGTATGCGCTCTGCGGCAGAGGGACCCCTAGAATTACCCTGGACCTTTCACACAGCTGGAACAGTAAGTCATTGAGAAAATTTTGGAGGTTGGAAAGAGGAGGAGGAAGGTGTGTGTGGGGGGGGGGGGGAGAGATTGGGACTCTCACAAAGCCCTTGCACACACACACACACACACACCTCCCCCCCCCTTCCCTGCCCTGCAGGTCAAGGCGGTGATTTGCAAAGTCAAATAAATAAATTAAACAAGCCGCATTAATGCCATTTCCTCCCTCGTTCTCGGGTACTTAAAGGCACTGCGTAGGACCCCAGGGGTGGGTGGGGAGGGGGGATGTCTGCTTCTCCTCTGTCCTCCCCGCCCCCATCGCCCTGTTCTTCTCCCCAGCTTCAAAATTTAGATAGGATTAAATGCCTCTGGTTCTTTTTAAGAGGTCCCAGTTATAAGGATGAGTGTGTGCCTGGCGGAGGGAGGGCTTCGGGTGGAGCTGCCCGCCTGTTCACAATTAAATAGGATCAGGTGCTTTTATCTCTGCTGGTCGGTTTCCTTCCATGGATGAAGGAAAGTATCAGTTTTCCACCAGTAAATTTGCAGACAAGGCATAAGGAGCTGCTAACAAGCTTATCACTTTCACTTCTACTGAAAGAAATATGTGTGTGTGTGTGTATACGTGTGTGTATGTATATGTGTGTGTATTTGTATGTATACCCACACATGCACATACACACACACACATGGGTTGCCGAGCAAAGCAACACATTGCAATAGCTAGCAGGTTAACATCACCTCATAGAAACAAGCATTCCAGGCTGGGTCTGACAAGAGAGGAACCAACAACAAGAGATACGCCTTTGCCTGACATGACTGAAGCAAAAAAGTGAATTACAGGTGGGAGGCGGTTGGAAGGGCCTATTACGTGTGATTATCTATCTATCTATCTATCTATCATCTATCTATCTATCATCTATCACCTATCTATCTCCACTGCTGTCAGAAGCCAAAGCTTATGTTTATGTTGCTAAGCAAGACAGTTGTTAAGTGGATTTTGCTTCATTTTATGACCCTTCGTGCCATAGCCGTTAAGTGGATCACTGCAGTTGTTAAGTTAGTCATATAATTGTTAAGTGGATCTGGGCTTCCCCCTGGAGACCCCAGGATCACTGCAACCTCCTGGCAAACAAGACTAGGAAACTGTTTCCTGGGCACCCAAAACCTGACGGACCTCTTTGGTTCTTCTCCACTCTTGACGCCAAGAAAGGCCTGCAAGGGAGGCCCCTTCCACTGCTCGCTGGCTCTTCGGGCCTTGAGTGGCACAAGCTGGTCCTTCGCTTCCTTTCCTGAGCCCCAGGCCACCCTCAACGGCCTCCAGCCGGTTACCCTTTTGGCCTCTTCTCTTTCATTCGCTCAAAGTCCATCCTGGAGATGATTCGAAAGGTCAAAGCAATAAATTTGCTTTATTTACACTAGAGGTTAAAGGAGGGTGTTTGTCGTGCCCCTGTCAGAGTCCATTGGCTATGAGGAAACTGGGGAAGGCTGGGCAGAGCAGGGGAGAGGTAGAGCAAGGGAGAGGGAATTCAGAGGAAGACCCAGGCCCACCCCCTCTTTATCCTAGGGTACGCAGGGAGGAAGGGAGCAACATGAGTTACGTGGCTTACGGGGGAGGAAAGGGCCCTGATTCCCTTCATTAGCTGCAGCTGGGAAGAGAGTTTAAAAGAAATGCATGCTGAGTGTGGCAGCTGCTGGGAACAAACGTGAGTTTATTTTGTTCCTTCACATCTGGAATTCTTGCTCTGCCCTGTTGGATTAATTACCTCATTTTGCCTTGATTGGACTTCTAGTTATAGTTTTTGTTGACCACGTTTTGGACTTGAATCTCTGCAGCCAAAGGCTGTTCCTCGGAGAGTTTTTCCTCCGGCCCAGAAAGTAACCAGGACATTGGGGGCAAAGTTGGAGCTAATAAAGGGACTCCTACTGATTATCTGACTGTGTTGCCTTTGTGCCACGCCCCTTTGGGTCATCACAGTGTTTGTAGGACATCTCTCTCCCACCCTCCCTCCCTCTCTCTCTCTCCCCCAGTGGTTGATTCTTCTCAGAGTGAGAAGGATATTCGGTGGGTCCGTCTTCTATCAAAATCAGGAGAGGCAGGAAAGAGAAGAAAAGGTATTTACGCCATACACCGTGCATGAACTAATTCTGAGATGTCTGGAACGAAGTCCCCAAAGCCCTGTTCTGGCCCACCTCCTGGGTCTCCATCCCAGGAGGGTTTGAAGCAAGGTTTGGGCAGCCTTGGGTGGTCTGAGGATCCCTGCCATGGGCAGGACGGATGGGCTGGAGGATCTCTTAAGTGTCTGATTCAACACGTTCATTTTTCAGATGTTTCAGTAAGTAGATTTCCTTCCACTCATAGGAGCTTCCTATACATCCAAAATTGTTTCAGCCACCTCCCCTTTTCTCTGTTGCTACCCGCTCTCCCTCCACGCACACATATTCACCCCCCCACACACACACTTATGTGTGTGTCTGTGTGTCTGTGTGTATCAAAGTTGCACATATTGAATCCAGATGTGTTCTTCTACACACAGGCCTTCCAGCAATTTAATTAAATTTCCCCCAGACAGCCAGGAGGGGTTCTTAATGATCAAATTTCTCTGGACCGCTTCCTAAAATGCCCCCTCCGCTCCTCGCCTCCCCGCTGGATAGGTGATGGCTCCCTTCCAGGTCCAATCAATGTTAACCAAGGGCCAACCTCAGCCTCTGATTCTCTTCGGGTAAGGAAGGGAAGGGAAGGGAAGGGAAAGGAGAGATAGGGAGAGATGGAAGGATGGATGGATGGATGAATGGATGGATGGATGGATGGGGACAGAAAGGAAGGGAGAGATGGATGGATGGATAGATGGATGTGGGACAGAAAGAAAGGAAGGGAGAGGTGCATGGATGGATGGATGGATGGAGGACAGAAAGGAAGGGAAGGGAAAGGGAGAGATGGATGAATGGATGGATAGGGCAGGGGGGGGGAGGGGAATTAAACTCAACGGGGAGGCCAGATTCACTTAACAACCATGTTAGTAACTTAACCACTACAATGATTCACTTAACAACTCTTAACAACAAAGGTCATAAAATGGGCAACTAAGATGCTTACGGGATCGGAGGTTAAAACATACAAAGAATGGTTGCTGGAATTGGGCATGTCTAGTTTGATGAAAAGAAGGACTAGGGGAGACAGGATATCAGTCATCCAATATTTGAGGGGCTGCCCCAAAGAAGAGGAAGGGGTCAAGCTATTCTCCAAAGCACCTTCAGAAGGCAGGACAAGAAGCAACAGATGGAAATTAAGCAAGGAGAAATCCAATCTAGAAGTAAGGAGGAATTTCCTGTTGGTGAGAACAATCGATCAGTGGAATGGCTTCCCTTCAGAAGTTGTGCACGCTCCGACACTGGAGGAGTTGACTGGACAGCCATTTGGGCAGGATGGGATAGGGTCTCCTGCGCGAGCTGAGGGTTGGACTACAGGACCTCCAAGGTCCCTTCCAACTCTATTATTCTATTAACAAAACCTCAAAGGGCAGACTCGACAGACCACTGGGACTTTTTCTGCTGCCAGTTGACTATGTTTCTATCAATTAAAAAAAAAAAAACCTTTTCATTTAGCAGCAATCATCCTGCATCCTAATCATATATAATTTTAAGAATTAGGCCTGTTACATGGTGAATGTGGAGGAAGAAGGGAGAGAGAAGAAGGAAAGATTCGTCCTTGGGAATTTGGCAAATTTTTGCAGAGCCAGGCACAAGGGATCAAAGGGGGGGCTGGGGAGGGGGGAGGGGAGGACGAACCCCTCTCTGCTAGAGGAAAGCTAATAAAGTCAACTCCGACTAGAATTTATAAATTGCAAACAGATGGCCCAGAATAATAGTGAGGGTTTTTTTTTTCCGAAAGGGGAAAAACTTTTGCACGCTGTGTCAAAGGGCAGATTAATTTCTCAAAGATAAGAAACTGCTAAGTGGGAAGGGGAGTATTGAGTATCCCCAAAGGTACCCCTTCCCCCTACCCCACCCCCCCAAAAAAGCATTGCAATCATTCAACAGTCAACGTTGCTCAGAAAAATCTCCAAGCGTTTCCTTTCCTTTCAAGGTGGCTAAACTCGGCCCCACTTCTGATTGTGGAAAGATTTTTCAATGCCAAATATAAACCAGGAGAAAAGAGGAGACATCCAGAAATCTGGACTGCCATTTGTCAGAAGCGGTGTAGGGTCTCTTGCTTGGGTTGGACTAGATGACCTATAAGGTCCCTTCCAACTCTGATGATCTGTTATCTGTTAATCTACTGATTGATTTATCTGCAGGTCGCCTTCATTTTTATTTTACAAATAACTCAAGGCAACGTACGTATATCCAAAGATAGCTTCCTTCTCCTGTTTTCCTCACAACGACAACCCTGTTCTCGATTAGAATTGAGCTGGAAGGGACCTTGGAGGTCTTCTAGCCCAACCTCCACTCAAGCAAGAGACCCTCTACCATTCTGGACAAAATGACTGTCCAGTCTCTTCTTGAAAACCTCCAGGGATGAAACATCCACAGAGAGGGAGGTTGTTCTATTGATGAATTGTTCTAACTGTCAAGAAAATTTCTCCTTGGTTCTAGGTTTGCTTCTCTCTTTGATTAGTTTTCCATCCATGGTTCCTTGTCTGGCCTTCAGGTGCTTTGGAAAATAGCTTGACCTCCTCTTCTTTGGGGCACCCAAAGGAAGACGGCTATCATGTCCCTCCAGATAGTCCTCTGTCCACCTGGCTACATAAATGTGAAATAAAAATCTTAAGCTGAAAACCAAAATTCTTTTTTAAAATTTAAAAATGCATCTTTAAAAACAAAAAAAGAAGAATATTCCCAGCCAAGCGCTCCCTCTAGAGGTCGTTTGAACCTGAAACTCGGGTGTTTTTCAGCAGCCAGAAATCTCTTTCCAACCTGCAGAGGGCAAAAGAATAAGAAGAAAACATTATAAAACAGGAGCGAGCTTCTTTCTGCAATTTTGCAACCGAAAGCTGTGCTTGCATATATTTTTTCCTCCCTTCCGCTTCCTGCATTTTCCCGGATGCGAAAAAAAAAGGGGGGTGAAAAAAGGAGAAGAGAAACCCGTGTGAATGGTTGGCTTTGGAAGTGCAAACGTAATCGCGGAGATTTTGATCCGAGACGGTGCGTAAAAAAACGGAGGAGGAAGCGCTAGAGAGAGAGATTGAGAGTAAACGTTTGCAAAGGAGGGAACGAGAAAAAGAAAAGCTTTAGTGGTACCCGTGGCTGGTTACTCTCGAGTAAGCAGCTTTTAAAAACCGTCGTAAATCGGGCGAGTGCGTGATCTGGAAAAAAAAAAATAGCCGCGTAAAAAGGAGAAAGTTAGAATTTTAATATATTAATCTCGGTTACTTCCCAGGAAGTGTTTTTATGCTTTTTTTAATAGTCTGTATCGATCAAGAAATAATATCAATAACAATTAACAATATTGCGTAAGAAGGGGAAGGTAGAATCGGCCAGCACCAAAGATAAAAAGAGGCAGAAAATTTATTCTCCCCAAGTCTTTTATCCTTGCTACAAGTTAAGTTTATTTCCTCTTGGAGTTGCCATTCGGTTTTATTTATTCATTCCCGAAAATGGGATTTGTTTTCTTGGGGTTGTTGCAATTTGCTTTTTTTTCCACTTCACCCATCCTGGTTGCTTGCCACTGGGTTAATTTAATTTATTCTTTTGACAGCTTCACCAACCACCTAAGGCCATCTCCAAGGGGATTTCTACAAAACAGAAATGACTGAGGTTGGTTTGTGTGAGGGTGAGGTCCCTGCCCTGCCTCTTAAAAAAACAACTGGCTTTTTCGATTAGCCTCTCTCTCCACCCTCCTTCTGCATGCAAAGATAATCTGTTTTGCGAAGTTTTCTTTTTTTAAAAAAATAAATAAATAATGGGGCTTCCACGAATCTCCCTTGTTGCAAACAGTTGCCTTACGTTGTTATTTTGACTTCCTTTTGGGTAGGTGGGTTACAAGATCCTCTTTTTAAAACGAAAGAAAATATAAGCCACGATTTACCAAGGTCCAACTTCTGGGTCTCTGGACATGTTCTTGAGATGTTATAGGACTGCAGGACCGTAGTAACGGAGTTGGGAGAGACCTTGGCGGTCATCTAGCCCAACCCGCTGCTCGAGCATTTCAAACGAATGAATGTCCACTCTCTTCTTAGACTGCTATCATCTTCTCTTCTAGCCCTTCTTTCCATTAGACTAGCCAGACATAATTCCTGCAGCCTCCAGACCTCTAAATCCTCATAGGGGGAGAACCAGAGCAGAAAAGGTATCTTAGCCCAGCAGGAGATGGTGAGTTCTAGTCCCGTCTTTGGCGTGAAAGCCAGCTGGGGGACTTTGGGCCATTCACCAGGAGACTGGGAGTTATAGTTATGCCTTAGGCATAAGAGCTGGCTGGGGGACTTTGGGCCACTCACCAGGAGACTGGGAGTTCTAGTCCCACCGCAAGCATATGCCACGCATATGGCTTACACCCCTCCCTGCCTGAAATTTTGGTCTGTCCCAGCAAAACCAGCCTCAGATTCTGGAGGTGGCAGTTGAATCAAAGAATTCTGCGGAGGGGGGGGGAGCTACTAGGAACATGAAGGATAACTATGACCTTCTACGCCATAAATCTGGTCAAAGTTTTGGTCAATCTGGTTTTGACCTCCAGGGCTAGGAGATGTTAGGGTCCCAAACCCACATTGATACGATCTTGGGTTCTCCTGCATAGACGATATCTCCAGGGCCCCCTTCCAAGACTTCCTGCTGGAAACTGGATGGTAGGATCTCCATCCTTGGTTGAAAAGGTCTTCAGGATGAACCTTGAAGGAACGACTAGGTTGTGTTTCTGAACCCACTTTTACCCATCTTTCTTGGATGGTTTTTAGTCGCGCGGGGGGGTGGGGTGGGATCGGTTCCCAGCTTGCCTTACAAAAAACGCTCCCAAAATGCTACACCATCGGAAGGTTGGTTTTTTACCTGCCAGAGTTAACTGGCAAACGTTGATGAGATCTGGCCGCCTCCTTCCTGAAATTTCGTGGGTTCTTGCCCAAAATCTTGCAGGATTTCAGCATTCTTGCTTGGAATCTTATGGGAGCTGCGGAGAGGTGGCCAAAATCTCGTGGCCGTCGATCGTAATTTTAAATGACTTTAAGAAAACAGGCTGCCATAAAGGGGAAGGGTTGTGGCTCCTTCTCCTCCACCACTTCTCCTCTTTCATCTTGTCTTCTGCCATCTCCTCCTCTTCCTCCATCACCACTCTTCCTCCATCTCCTCTTCCTCTCCCCCTCCTCCTCCTCCTTCTCCTTTCTTGCATTGGCAAGAGGTAAAACATGGCCCTAAAGTCAAACTTGAAGCCTTTCCCTTGGCATCCGGTCATGGTTTCAGTAGCTTCCTCAGCTGATTCTTACTGATTGAATAAAAATCATGAATAAAAATCAACCTGCTTTCCTTTTGAAACAGGCTGAGAAGAAGCTGGAGTGAAGCAACCATTGGGCTGGGCATGAAGGAATCCTTTCTGGATGATTATTGAAAGAATGCCGTTTCTTCATGGCTTCCGTAGAATCATCTTCGAATATCAGCCTTTAGTAGATGCGATCTTGGAGTCTCTGGGGCTACAAGACCCCGAAAACCAGGAGTTGCCGGAGAGGTAAGCAGCTTTTAACGACAAAGAATTGGGAAAAAAGGATTCTTTCTCCACCATCCTAAGACAAACATGTTTTTTTTCTTATTTATTCCCCATCTTTATTACTTTTAAGATGGTGAGCATACTTAATATTCCTCCCTTCTCCTACAAAAGGGAGGTGGGTTTGGCTGAGTATGTGTGACTGGCTCAAAGTCAGTCCCAGCCAGCTTTCATGGCTGAGGCAGGACTAGAACTCACAGCTCCTGGTTTCAAAGCCAACAGCTTTACCATTAAACTGAACTAGCTGTCATGCAACATCCAAGCTAGACTTTGTACGTCCTCATATAAAAGCTAACATTCTTTCTTCTGTGCTCACAGATCTCCATTTGTCTGCTTATCTATCTATCTATCTATCTATCTATCTATCTATCTATCTATCTAT